TGCTATTAGGTTGGAGGCCTTTGCTTGTAGGTTGGAGGCCTTTGCTTGTAGGTTGGAGGCCTTTGCTTGCAGGTTGGAGGCCTTTGCTTGTAGGTTGGAGGCCTTTGCTTGTCGGTTGGAGGAAATTGCTATTAGGTTTGAGGCTGTAAGTTAAAAGGCCTTTTGCTATTAGGTTGGAGGCCTTTGCTATTAGGCTGGAGGCCTTTGCTTGTAGGTTGGATTCCATTGCTTGTAGGTTGGAGGCCTTTGCTATTTGGTTTGTGGCCTTTGCTTGTAGGCTGGAGGCCTTTTGCTAAAAAGGTACATATTGTCAAAAATGACATTATTGTATATATTTCAAAACTGGGAAATTAAAATTGTCATGTTGGGTTGGTATGTTTGTTGCACACAGCTTGCCATGTTGCCACAAACCATTCAAGAAATTGCTCCAATATGGTTACATTTGCAATGGCAAAAACATGGCAATATACAAGAAGCACCTGTGACCATGTGTTTATTAGCGATACTTTTCAATATGTTGTGTTAATTTTGACAACATATGTTTTTTACACTTTGCATACATGTTGATGTCTAATTCTTTTGTATATGCATGAACAAGTGTGCACTGAAAAACAAATGTAATCAGTTTTCATTTATCAAAACATGGTTTCAACCTATTTTTGTGAAGTTAGTAACATAGTGGTAACAATGCTAACAATGCTAACTGTTAGCAGAGTTAGCGTTAGCCTTGTTATCTTAGTTAATTAACTTTTACTAAAAGTTTACTAAAAGTTAATATCACATATGTAGGTGTTAGCATTGTTACACCATGTTACAACTGTTACAACTGTGTTATGACCATGTTAGCCAACTCTCATAACTAACATAACTTCGCGACTGCCTGCATGTCCTTGTGGAACGAACCTACTGGTCCTTTTGATAGTTTTCCCCACTTACATGTTTGTTTGTTCAGTTGAAACAGGCCATGTGGAACTGACGAAAGTGGCAGCGCTGCATGGAAAGACCAATGTTTTAGCCAGGTTGTAGATGGCTAGAGTACTCGATGCGGAAAAAGAGGTGTACGGTCAGAATGCTGTCAGAGACCAGTCCTGTTAGAGTTCGGAGTGAAGGCGAAGAACTATACATATATATATATATCATTTTGACTGGGCCCTGCCATTGTAGGAGCTTCTCGCTGCGTACAGTCTGGAGCCCTTCCAGAAACAAGTGCGCTTGCACCTACCTTTTTCGGATTCTGTGAAGACAGAATGAACGGAACGATTCTGTGAATCCATTAAGGGAGGTGACATGAGGTCGCTTTTGTCGCAGGTACACAGCGACGCTAAGGCAAGGTCTGAGAGGTTCCAAGGGAGCCACAGCCAGTTGTCGGAAGGCTCAACAAGCATTCCTAATTATTGGTCCCTGGCCCAAATACAGACCACGCATACTGTGTCGGACCACGCGAACTTGCTCATGCTGATGTTGTCAAGCCTTCTATAGGCCTGGGATATGGCGATGTTTGAATGAACACCCTGGAAGATCTCATTGCCACAGGCAGTGATGTTCGAGTTCCAGCCTTTCCTCAAGCGCCTGAAGAAGACGGCGTTCGGGGTGCCTACCCTGATGCACCAATACAGTTTTGAGTAGTTGCCCTACCTTTGAGGCCAGAACTCTACTATTGGATCCTGGTGAAACAAGCGGAAACCAACACATTTCATTAGTCTGATTTGCTTCAAGTGATGGTAACTGTGAATCTTGGTGGAAGCTGTCTGGGGAATCCCTCTGAGTCGATCAACCCATCTCTATCCCTTGCGGTCCTTACGACTTCCGGCGGTCTGAACGCAGCCTCTTTGGGTCGGACTTTCAGCTTTAGCGCCGACGGTTCAGGTGTGACTGGCCTGTTGTTACGCAGTCAAGCTGTCAGCAAATCCGATGGGTATGAGGCTCAAAAGCCCTTTCCGCAAGAGTTTTCCTTCCGAGCATTCAATTTGTACAGATCGACAAATTGCATGCACTCTGTGCAACGCATCTTGCATGCGACACTAGAGTATCCTTCACGGACTAGTGTGGGTATCGTTGCCAGGTTACCATGGCACGTAGCAGTGCGCTGATTCGCACTGGTGTGCGCAGGCCTCAGAACATTTTGAGGTCCTATCTAAGACACAGTGAGTTCGTATTTAGGTGCCCAACCGCCCAAACCATCCTGTCCTATGAAGCCTACTTGTAGAGGTCTAAAACTTGCGTCCTTGCCGTTCGAGCTCTTTGATGTTCTTGATGTTTCGCAAACCCTGCGCTAGCAACCCAGGCTGGCCGGTTTGGCGGCGGCCCTGGGGCTGCTGTACAGCTCGGCCTTTGTGGGTGTTGGGGCACTTGGATTGTGGCCTAAGGCCTAAGCCTAAGCTTCATTTGGGGCACGGGCTTTGTTAGAGTAAACATGGGCGGGTCAATCATTTTTAAGCTTAGTCTCTTTTGAGCCTCCACGAGTGAAAGTTAAATGCGATTTGCTGACTGACGCTTGGAAAGCCGCATCGTCGAGGAGACAATTCCCGAGACTGCTTAAGGCCAACGCAAACAGTTTCGCTCCACCTAAGCATCCGGTGCCACTTGGCAATCTCCTCCCCGTGTTCCACTTGTCTATATAACAGGTGTGTAGACCATGAAGTGTGAGAATAATCCAACACATAGAGAAGCTAAAACTGAAGTTTCCCTAAAAAATCTGGGAGCAAAGTGATTAGTGCGAAAGCTTGGTTGCATCCTAGCTAGGAACGTCCTGTTTTGCCCTTATCTTACTTAATTATATAAATATTAAGTAGGCACCCACTTAATTAAGTAGGACAACGGACAAAACATGCAAACAACAAATAATTTAAAGGCTTACGCCTAACAGCCGGGCGCCGGCACACTAGGGTCTGTATAGGGCTGGGTCGGGTGCACGTGCAGCTATCGGGGGCGTACAGGGCCCTGGGTGGGGGCAAGGTGGGAAACTGCTCGGCGTTGGAGACGGGGGCCGGGGTCTGGGGCACAAGTTAAGCTATCTGGTGCGCATCTTGGCCCTAATTTAGGCCCATGTGGTCTATGTTGGGCACATCTTGGGCCCATGTTGAGCCTATGTTGAGCCTATGTTGGCCTATGTTGGCCGAGGTTGGGCCTATGTTGGGCCTATGTTGGCCCCATGTTGGCCTATGTTGGCCCTATGTTGGGCCATCTTGGAGGCTAGGTTGGGCATATGTTGGGGATATGTTGGCTATCTTGGGCCTATGTTGAGGATATGTTAGGAAATGTAAGTCGTCTGGAGGGCCTCTACCCACAAAATGTCGATTAAGCCTGTCCGCCCGGCCCGCATTACCGACACCACCCTTGAAAAACACAGCATTTTTGCATTTTTTCCTTTTCCCCGCGTCGTACTTCGATATGCGCAATAAACCCTGTAAAACACAGTGTTTTTTATACTTCACACACACACGATACACTGTAAATTACAGGGGCTTCAGTGACCCGGTGGTCCGCCCGTTTTGGGACCGAGGGTCGGCGGCAAGGGGGCGCGCCCGTATATAACCTTCGGTTACCACCGAAGGCCCTCCGGGCAGGGCACGGGCTTCGTGGCCGGCGCCCGGATTATGAGGCTTACGCCTGACAGCCGGGCGCCGGCCTATTTGGGTTTGGGTTTGTGCAGGGCTGGTTCCCCGCTCTCTCTCTGTCTCTCTGTCTCTCTCCCTCTCTCTCTCTCTCTGTCTGTCTCTCTCTCTCTCTCTCTCTGTCTCTCTCTCTGTCTCTCTCTCTCTCTCTCTGTCTCTCTCTCTCTCTCTTTGAGACTTGGTGGGGCCTATATCGAGCAAAGTTAAGCTATCTGGTGCGCATCTTGGCCCTAGGTTGGGCCAAGTTGCGCCCATGTGGTCTATGTTGGGCACATCTTGGGCCCAAGTTGAGCCTATGTTGGGCCTAGGTTGGCCTATGTTAGGCCTATGTTGGCCTAGGTTGGGCCTATGTTGGGCCTATGTTGGCGTATGTTGGCCCCATGGGCCTATGTTGGCCCTATGTTGAGCCATCTTGGAGGCTATGTTGGGCATATGTTGGGGATATGTTGGCTATCTTGGGCCTATGTTAGGGATATGTTAGGCAACTTATGTGCCCAACACCCACGAAATGTCGATTAAGCCTGTCCGCACGGCACGCATAACCGACACCACCGGCGCCCTGTTAGGCGAAAGTCGTGGCCACGAAACACTGTAAAACACGGTGTTTTTGAACATCCTACGCAAAAAAATTGGTAGATACATATACATCCGTCGACCGGATTCGGGCGGGGGTCGGGCGGGGGTCGGGCGGAGGTCGGGCGGAGGTATCCCCGCGGTCCAACAAAAGGGTCGGCGGCAGGGGCGGCGAGCGTATATAACCTTCGGTTACCACCGAAGGCCTCCGGCAAGGACACGGGCCCGTGGCCGGCGCCCGGAGCTTACGCCTGACAGCCGGGCGCCGGCCTATTTGGGTTTGGGTATGCGCAGGGCTGGGTCCTCTCTTTCTCTCTCTCTCTCTCTCGCTTTGAGACTTGGTGGGGCCTGTATTGAGCAAAGTTAAGCTATCTGGTGCGCATCTTGGCCCTAGGTTGGGCCAAGTTGAGCCCATGTGGTCTATGTTGGGCACATCTTGGGCCCAAGTTGAACCTATGTTGGGCCTAGGTCGGCCTATGTTAGGCCTATGTTGGCCTATGTTGGCCTAGGTTGGGCCTATGTTGGCGTATGTTGGCCCCATGTTGGCCTATGTTGGCCCTATGTTGACCCATCTTGGAGGCTATGTTGGGC